CATTGCCTGCTATCAGTTTGTAGCCTCAGTGTTGAAGTGCTATTCCTCTATCACACCTCCACCGCCCCCCACCCCGTCATACCTTCTTTTTTTTTTTTTTTTTAATTTTTTTAATGTTTTATTTATTTTTGAGAGAGCATGAGCAGGGGAGGGTCAGAGAGAGAGGGTCTCATACCTTCTTTCTTTTGTCTGTCGAGGTTTTGGTAGGGGTATGTTAGGGCACCCTCCTTTGATATTCTGACACCTGTACTGTGTGGTAGGCAATTTACTAAGAGTTTGGGGTATATGCACTTATTCCCAGAGGTAAGTGTAGGGGGTCGTTTGCAGGGACCTGAGCTGAGTCCCCCTGTTCCTAAACCAAGGGAGGGGGCCCTGGGGGAAAGCCTGGGCTCACTTGGGGGCTTCCAGAAGGTTCAGCTGCATGAACGTAGTTGTGTGGGTGCAGCGTACCTAAGTCCTGAATGGGGACTGGCCAACATGGAATTAGGGAGCCCATCTCCCATAGGGACCTGATAGTTTAATCGAGTGACTGGACAGAAGCAGAAATTGAGCTGCATCTGCAAGCCCCTGGGAGGGGGGAGCTGGTGGAACATGGGAGGGGGGTCACATCAGGCCCTGGGCCAGAGGAGGTGAGGTGAGGCCTCCAGGGTTGCTTGGGCCCATCCCATGTCCTCCCCTCAGCCCCTGCTCTGCCACCCCAGACCTCCACCTCCTCCCTTGCTGTGTCCTCCTGCCTCTGGCAGGACAGCCCTGTCCGCAGGGCAGTGATGGAACCTTCCAGATCTTTCCATCCTGAGATTTTGCCTGGCTGACACCCACCAAGCACAGGCTTTCAGGTGACTTTGCAGCCTCCCTGGGAGGAGTGAGGTTGGAGGCAGTTTGGAGAGGACAGCTGGTGACAGTAGGGGGTGACGAGGGTTCAGCATGACACTGTGGAGCCAGCCCACATGGCTGCCTGGGCCCCGAGGTGGGCTCCGGGACCAGCAGGACCAAGGTTTGGCTGCGGACAGTGAAGCCATGCCCCCGGGTGCTGGTCCCGGGTGCTGTGCCGGGTCGTCCGCCACGGCCGCTCGCTTCGTCGGTCGTGCGTTGTGTGTGTGTGTGTCCAGGTGCCTCTGGAATCTGCTCATCCCCATCCTGCACTGTCCTTCCTCTAACTAGCAGCACCCCGTTAACCGGAGCCCAGAACGGGGCTCCTGCTCCTACGTCCTGTCGTTCCCCCCACTGAGAACATTTGTACGTGTCAGGAGAGGATTCTGACGGGAAGGGAGCCTTTTCCTTGCACTCAGCTTTGTGGTTCTGGTCTCAGAACTTCTCCCCACCCGTGACCTCTGAAGGCCAGGCCACAGGCCCTGGGTCACCCTCGGGTGACCACCGCTGATAGAATCAGGAAGCTGGAATCTGCGGGTGGGCGAGTGTCCAGGCTTGTTGACACCACTTGCAGACACAGATGAGCCCCACCCCAGCCTCTCTCCCAGCAACTGCGGTGACAGACGCTTCCAGGAGAGTGTCACCGCGCAGCCGCTGGTCCCATCCCTCCCCCAGCCCAGTAGCTGCTCACAGTCCTGGGAGGAGCTTCAGAATTAGGATAAGATCCTAGCTCCTGGACTGACAGCCCGGCTGGTGTCCCCTAGGTTCTGTCCCCTTTTTACATTACAAAGCACTTGCCAGCCCTCTGTTGCCACAACCCCCACCCTTCTTGCATTCATTCCTGTGACTTCCTTGAGTTTGTTTACAGCAGTTACCCACGGGATCCTTCCAGGACGCAATTAGGGCAGCTTCACTTATGAAAAGGAACATCTGGGGTCCCCCCCCCCGCCCCCACATCTTATATTAGGACCTGGGGACAAACGTAGAGGGAAAAAGTACTGAATCCACCCTGGATCTCAGTATTTAACCCTTACTCCACCCCAGTCTCTGCAAAGGGCGGAAGGGGGGGAGGGCTCGGGGAGGCTGCACCCTGACCCTGACTCTTCCCTCCTGCCCATCAGGCCTCAAGGATGGGGTGACCAGGCAGAGGCTGCCCTCGTCCCTCAGGACATGGCGGTGACCTTTGCTTCTGCTTTTGGCAGAGGCCTGGCTGGCGCCAGGAGGGCTCGCTGGCACATTGAGGGCTGCCCAGAGCACGACATGCGGGTCCTGGCCCTGCCCGCCCCACGCGGCCAGCCCGGGCGTGACCAGGTGCCTGCCGAGCCGGCCGGCGTCAGCTGCGGCCTCCACAGTGGCTTTCTGTTCTGAGCACCAGGCGGGAGGGTCTCCTCGTCAGCAACCACCTCACGTCCCCACTAGATGGAGGGCCTGGCCTGTCGCCTTGGAGGCCCCGCCACCCTGACGGACGGGACCAGGAGACACGGTTTTCCTCAGGGACCGATGGCTGCCGCGTCCCCTTGTCACTGGTGTTGCCGAGCCTGACAGCTGCTGGCCACGCGTAGCTGTGTGACCTCCACATGTGGCTAGTGTGACTGAGGAAGTGAAAGTTTAATTAGATTTAAAAACTGATACTTGGTTCCGTTATTTAGGAAAACTTTTTTTGAGTGTGTTTGGAACAGCCTGGGGTGTGTGAAGCTGCTTGTGCAGATCAGGGGTTTCCAATGAGAATTTAGCATCCGAATCGAGATGGACTGTGAGACCAGAGGCTTCGTGTGAAAAGAGAATGTGAAGTCTCTTGTTCATGGTTGTATGTTAATTATGTAGTGAAAGTGATAACGGTTTGGATATATTGGCTTAAGGTATTCTCAGAATATTTTCATACAAATATACCTTTCTTTAACATCTTTTTAAAGACAGATACTAGAACATTTGAAGTTAACGTGTGTCTCCCGTTCAATTTCTCTGATCTCGCTGCTTATACCTTGGGGCCTGTTTTTGCTGAAAATGTGATTGGTGGTCCTTGGGGGCCGGGGGGAGATGGTTCGTGTCTGAGGAGCACTGTGGGCCTCAGGGTTCGATCTTGGGAGACCTGCGGTGTTTTTGGAAAGTACCTTCTGTTCACAAAACATTACTTCTTGATTGCACAAATGACCTATTTCTTGTGGGAAAATTAGAAAGTACTGATGGATGAGACAGATAAACGTGGTGCTCTGGAAGGGGAAAACATGGGTGTTCTAGCAGTAGTTTCGAGCAGTTTTTCCAGCAGTCGTGCGCCGAGCTCATCCTCAGCATAAAAATGCCACTTCGCATTCTTTCAGAGCCCTTTAAGATGATTTCACGTTCTGTGTGTCTCATAAACATGAGCGCCCTGATAATAGGGCTCGTGCTCCAGACCCTTGGACGGTGGTGGGGCGCAACCAGCCGAGACTCCAGAAGGGACTCTGTCTGGTGGGATGGTGATAACAAGTAAATCTTCCAGAAGTTGGGCTGTGCACTTGAGTTGACCGTTGGGGCCCTCCAGAGACTCCGGGTCGGAGTGGGCTCATCTGGCCTGGAGTCCTTCCTTTTGCTGGATGAGCGAGCTGGAAAGGGGATTTTGCTGATTTTACTCTTGATGTGTGTTTTGCCCCAGGGTGGGACTGTGGAATCCTTTGGGGTGAGTGCGTTCAATTCAGAGACCTGTGTGTGTGTGTGTGTGTGTGTGTGTGGACTGTGGAATCCTTTGGGGTGAGTGCATTCAATTCAGAGACGCGCGCGCGTGCGTGCGTGTGTGTGTGTGTGTGTGTGTTGACTTCTTCCAAGCCCCAAAGGCGGGCTGAGGCTGCCACACAGCTCACACTTCTGTCCCACATGGGTATTTACCAACTGAGATGTGTTCGAGAAGACACGAGCATCTCTGATGTGGTGACCTACCTGTGAACCCAGCATTGAGTGGGGAGGGGCCCAGTGTGTTGGGGTCCACATCTGCTCCCCCCAAATTCTGGTGTGGACAGAAGTCACAGAAACACTGAGGTGGGGGGAGAATAAAATCACTTTATATATTTTTCGAAAGTGTTAGTGTCCCCAGGCAGGCCTGCCCAGGCTCTCCCTCCAGTCCAGTGATTTGGACCTTGTTCTGGGGTGTTCAGCTGGGCCCTGTGGGGTTCAGGGATTGTGCGTTGTCCCTCTTGTCTCCGTCGGTGCTGGTCGGCGGTATACATGACACAGAGCCCTTGTGTTAGGCGATGGAGTGGCTCTGGAAAAAAGCCTGTCTCACTGGAAACATTTTTAAAAAGCGTGAGAGGAGCTTTGTTGGTGAATTTCTATAGTGACTGCTTTTGTAGGACCAAGAATACTTAGGAAACCTATCCCCTGACCGATCTCCCATGAAATTAGACTTTTATCTTCTGATTTGTGAAAAACCAGGTACACCTGGGCGGGGAAGACAGACCTGTCCCGAGAAGGGCTCTGGGAAACGTGAGCCGTGGGTCGAAGCCGGCACACTCCCAGGGGGAGCTTGTTAAAGACCCCAGACACGGGGCCGTGACTGATGGCTGGTGCCTGGGCCTCCTTTCAAAGCCCCTTGGTGTGAGGGCCAGAAGGCGGCTCATTTCCGCGCACCTTCTCTAACGGGTGCAGATTAGCTGTGATTTATCCCCTCTCCCGGGGAAGCCGGTGTCGTAAATGAGAGAAGTCCTCTCGTTTACAGCTTGTACTAGAGGCCTGTCGAATGCTGGGATCCTGAGTCTTCAGGTCACGAAGACTCAGGAGCATCTCTTTAATCTTTACTCTGTACTTTTTTAATTGCATAAGCAAACCATATAATAAAAATAAAGCCGTCTCTTAAAAAGAAACTTACACCTAATCCTCTATCCTAGCAGGCAATAGATCTTCTCCCCCCACCCCCGGTCTCTGTGACTTTACGCAGGCGTGACTTTTATTTGTTCGTGAGCAAGGCAGAAGTATAATTAACTTTGACTTTTCACGTTTATTTGTATTGTAAACATTCCTTCCTGTTCTGCAGGACCCTTCATAGTTACCATTTAACGGCTGCGCATTCATCCAGTGACTCGATAAACTGTAATTTTCTTAATCGTTCTTTATTTTTGTTTCCTGTTCTTAACGGTATCTTTTCCCCTTTGTTCCTGTAGGAAGTTCTCCAGCAGCTGATCGTCATGAATTTGCCCAATGTTTTGATGATTGGCAAAGACCCGCTGTCTGGTGAGTGGAAGCTGTCCCCCGTGGTGCCTGGGCAGCGCCATCGGCTCTGAGCAGCTGCTGGACACAGAGCTCTGGCTGCCAGCTCAGAGCCAGCACAGTGAGAACACGTGATCGTTTTGGTGCGATTTTAAAGGGTGGTTTATTTCCCTGAGGCATTAAGCCAAGAGCACGGTTCCCCCCCCCCCCCACTTATGAATGAGCCCTCCCAACCCCTCATTCATATACAAGTGCAGAGGCCACTGCTTTGTTGGGCTTGGGGGCTGAGTTGTAGTCGGACTTGCTGGGGGTCTCTCCTTAGTAAATGCAGAAGCCACACCATCCTGGGATGCGGTATCTATTGGCAAGAAAGTTAAGAACCTTTTGAACAATTGCCCCTTCCACGGGATCCTGCTACACCCCGACTCACCCTGTGGCGTATCTCTCCGGCACGTCCTGTCTTGTCTCTGTTTTCATGCCTCTTGCTGGTCTGTGGTGCCCGAGAGGGCAAGGTTTCTCAGTCCTGGGCTCAGACGCCCGGTGTGACTTTGAAAGACTGAATGAAATGGCCCCCGGGACACCTACCAGAAAATCAGAGCTTAATTCCTATTTGCCCAGCTGACTTACCGGGAGAGTTGAGCAGGGTGATGGGTCTCTTCCCTGCCACGTTTGTGAGCCTTGACCTGCACCCATGGCTCATGGACATCAGCTCGCCAGCCCCAGGGCCAGAGCGCTCGCTGGCTGGGACTCGTGCCAGTAGAGACCTGGCTAGCGCAGGTGTGGCCTCCTAGAAATAGCCGAGGGTCCAGGAATGTGGGAGGACCCCACACAGTGGAGGCTTCTACAGAAGGGACTGAAGCTTTCCTCTGCGGCATCACCTCTCACCCTGCCCCCACTGACGTCTGGCTATCCTTGCTCCTGTCCATGTGACAGTAGCTGAAGTTGCCTGGAGACTGAAGGAAGGGAACACCAAGTGGCCAGCCCAGGACAGTTCCCGTAGAGAAGTTGTATTTTAGTGCCGTGGCCCTTGGCTGCAGCAACATCTGGAGGAGCACCAGGTGGGGGTGGGGGGCTAAGCATGAGAGCACCTTGCTCCTGGCGTGTCCCCCCGGGCCCCAGCTGGGTGGTGTCTGCCTTTCTCCGCAGACCTCCCCGTAGTCTGTAGCATGGTGGCCGTGAACGCTCACGGCTTTGCACAATGGCTTTGCAGCCACCTGGTGGCTCCTGGCGGCGAAGGCCTGGACCCCCTGGAAGCATCAATAACTGGGAGGAGGGGGGTGCTTTGGTTCACTTTGCCCCTGGCTCTTCCTTTGGGCCATTTGTCTTTTGGCTTGATTCCTGGGTCCCCCACGTAGAGGATGCCAGACGCAGCCCGTGCGAGCCGCGGCCGCGAGCCGCGACCCCGAGCCCCAGGGACGGTCAGCGCGCTCGTGTTTCTGTAGTAAGGTCGGGAGAGCGGGGGTCTGCTTCGCTGAGCAGAACTGTCCTGATGGGTTCGGGGGTCGGCCTCCCAGGGAAGAGAGATGCCTGTGGGAGGCGGGCGGCGCAGGCTTCGCTCCGTTCTTCTGCCTGCTCCGGGGGCGTCCGCGCGGGGCGAGGAGGCAGGTGGAGGAGCCGGAAGGAGGACGCTCCCTCCTCGAGCCCTGGCTGAGCCCGCCATGTGCTGGGCGCTGTGTACGTACTAAACCGTGGAATTGAAAGTGTGCTTCTGGGGTGTGGCTGAGCCGTCCCATTTACAGATGAGAAGACGCAGGCTCGTGGAGTTTAAGTGAGGAGCCCTTGGTCACTCAGCCTGTAAGGAGACCCCGGAATCTGAGCTCCCCATCCGTGTCACACACGGACATGTGAGGCTGGGCCAGGGTTCAGTCATTTTGACCTACAAAACTGGCAGTGGCATATGGCTCAATCTGACATTAAACTCCCGCTGCCCCATCCAGCCCCCCTGTCAGCCTGGCGTGCTGTGTTGCTCACCCACCTCCCCGTTTCTTTTCCCTGTCAGTGTCCTCTCTCCCTGCCGCCGTCAGGAAGCCTGTCCCCTAGAAGCCCCTTCACCAGGTTCCTCCTATGCTGGAACCCTCTCTCAGGGGTCACCAGCCCCGCCCCGCCCCCGGCAGAGTCTCTGTTCCAGCCTCTGAACCACAGGGGCCAGGAGGTTGTCCACATGCAGAGAGAACACGGGTCCGTCCCTACTTCAGGTCCGGTGCCGAGCAGAAACCTCTGCAGAGAGGTGGACGCTGACTTCTTTTGAGACGGCTTTGCTGAGGTAGAGTTTGAGTCTCATCAAGTTCACCCATTCTGAGTATACCGCAGGGTGACTCTTTGTCGTATCGTATAGTTGAGCGACCGTGACCATAGCCCAGGGATAGAACGTTGTGGGGAAGCTGCTGTCAAACTGTGACAGGTGCATGGAGTGTCTCCAGCACAGAATAGGATCCGTACACACCACTCAAAAGGTTGTGTCCCCAGCCCTGAAGGAGAGGTTAGAGACAGACTGTGGACGTGGGCCTCGCGGCTAGCTGGGAGAGTGGGGGGCACCCAGGTGGGGTCTTCGCCGTCTGCTCACAGAGGCAGGGGCTGCCTTACCGCGGCGGGGGGCCCGGCCGGGGACTGGGAGCCGGGCACACGCTTGGGTAGGTTTTGACAGCAGTCCCCAGGGGCCTCCGGGAACAGGGAAGGTTGGCAAAGAAGATGCAGAGACCTATTTACGGAATGGTGTTTTCTGTTTTCAATTAAAAAAAAAAAAATAGATGAGTGAAGCATTTGGGGTTTCTTTTTAAATAAAGAACAGAGCTGGGTTTTGTGCGGTGGCCTGGGAGTGGGTTGGAAGGTGGGGGGGGGGGGGCGGTGCCATCTTTTGGTTCCTCCTCCTCACGTATCTCCGGAGCATGCCTGTGCTCTTCTTGGCTGATGTTGACACTTCACCGTTATTTATAACAGATCACAGTTTGGGGTTATTATTACCGGTTTTTTGGCAAATGCATCTCAGTGGAGGCGGGGCCACCAATGGCGTGGAGCCCAGCAGGGTGTCCTGTCATCCTGACACCCATCCTGAGACACACCAGCATTTGTCCCCTTGCTCTGACCCAAACAAGGGAGACGACATGACTTCCCCCAGGAGGTAGTTTTCCTGTGTGTCTAACCTGCCTTGCCTGCGCCCGTCAAAGGATGTTCTCTTTTTTTCTGCCTTGGGTGGGATTCAAGTATAAGAAGTTTTATACTTTATTTTTTTAGAGAGGGAGTGAGTGCAAGCAGGGGGCGGAGAGAGAGAGAAAGAGAGAGAGAGAATGAATCTTAAGTAGGCTCCGTGCTCAGCATGGAGCCTGACAAAGAGCTCCATCCCACCACCCTGGGATCATGACCTGAGCCAGAACCAGGAATTGGATGCTCAACTGACAGAGCCACCCAGGCACCCCAAAGAACTTCATACACTTTAAACTCTAGTCTCCCTGCAGTGGGGGCGCCTGGGTGGCTCCATCAGTTAAGCATCCATCAGTTAAACTTAACTCCATCAGAGTGTTTTTTGTTTTCTTGTTTTTGTTTTTGTTTTTTTTTTTTACCTTTTTTACATTTATTTTTGAGAGACAGAGTGAGACAGAGCATGAGCAGGGGAGGGGCAGAGAGAGAAGGTGACACAGAATCCGAAGCAGGCTCCAGGCTCTGAGCAAGCGTTCAGCACAGAATGACCCTGATGTGGGGCCTAAACCCATGAACCGTGAGATCATGGCCTGAGCCAAAGTCGGACACTTAACCGACTGAGCCACCCAGGCACCCCAAGCGTCTGATTCTAGATTGCAGCTCAGGTAATGATCTCACAGCTTGGTTCATGAGGTCAAGCCCCACACTAGGCTCTGCACTGACAGTGCAGAGCCTGCTTGGGATTCTCTCTGCCTCTCTCTGTTCCTCTCCCACTGTGCTCTCACTACCACTCTCTCTCAAAATAAATAAATTAAAAAAAAAAAAATCTCTCTGTAGCACCTGCTCCTCTGGCCCCCAGTCCTCATTCTCTCTTCTTTACCTTGAGTCGCCGCTCTGGACTTTGTCTTTAATGGCACAGTGTTTTGCAGCTCGCTCTCACCCGGAACCAGTCCCAGCCCCTCGGGAGGTGTCTCTGTCCAGCCCCTCATTACTGTGGACCCCACTTCCAGGAGCCCAGCTGGGGTCTCCCGAGGCCCTGCTCTGAGCCCCCCTGTTCACTTGTATATGACCGTGTGAGCAGGAAAGCCTCGCCCCGGTGACTCCCACCTTGCTCAGGTGGCTCCCAGGGCTGGGTGCTGTAGGGCATCCTTTTTGTTTCTAGTTGGTTAAATCCCATCCTGGTCTCTCACCTGCACTTGTTTGTCAGGCAGGTACCTCGGCTCTACCTTCAGAGTACCTGAACCTTTCTCTCCTCCTGCTGCACCTCCACCCTTCCCTTCTGCCTGGCCGCGAGCCAGAGTAGCGTTAGAACACCTGCCAGCCCATCCTCGCCCCTGCAGCGCGTCCTCAGCACAGCCCCTGGTCATCTTAGGTTCATGGCTGTCAGGTTGTTACTCTCCTGCCCCCTCCCTCCTGGCGCTAGGGTCTGCACAGGGGCTGTTCCCGCTGCCTGGCACGCTTTTCCCAGACACAAGTCTTTGCTCAAGTGCCCCTCCTGACCCCGTGTGCTGCTGCAGCCCCTCACTCCCAGGACCCATTCCCCTCATCCTGCTCTGCCTCCCCCTTTTCACAGTATTTATTACCCTCTAGTACATACTTTATCATTTATTTATTCACATTTGTTGCATTGCTCACCCCCTCCCCCACCCCCAGGATGTAATGTCTCACGAGGGCAGGAATCTTGGGGTTTTTTTTCTTTTTATTGTCGCCCATCTATCCCAAGCGTCCGGAGCAGTGCCTGGCACGTAGTAAGGTGCTCAGTAAAGAAAGCGTGTGTGCCGGAGACCCACCTTCAGCTCCTCCGGGCCCCACTTCCCTGTTTCTTCAAGCAAGTGCTGCTGACAAGTGTTAGGCACATTCTCTTGCAGCTGCAAAGGTCAGATGTCAAT